CCTCAGCACTAGTCCAACACCACTTCTCAAATGAGTTGATTTTCTTTCTATCTGCTTTCTTCACTGCCCAGCTTTACATTCATACGTAGCGATTGGGAATACCATGGCTTGGATGAGTCTAACTTTAGTGCTCAATTGTATATCTTTGGTCTTTAACATCTTGTTACCAACCATGCAGGTAACAACAACAACCCACCATGCTAGCTGAGGGATCCTGGAAACTGTCGGCCAAAAACAAGTACGGTACCCTTCCAAAGATCTGAGTGCAACACATCGGAGAGAGCAAGTCCTCCTGTTTGATCCCATCCAGCCCCAATTTTTGAGCGACTGACCCTTTTCCAACCTAATTCAGTCCATCCATCCATCCCTCCCTGCCGCAGCCCTTCTCAACTTCTGGTTGCACTTGAGGACAGACGGCTCCTGTTTTTTGCACAAGCCCTCTCCCTCGTGTGCCAAACCACTTCCCTTCTTTAATGTTTGGCAGAGGCTGGAGTGCATAAACCAGACTAGTCTGGAACATATCCATGTTATGATTTTGGGAAGGGGGGGGTTGTTTTGTGAGAGACGGAGGGGAAGGGGGTGCCTGCCCTCCAGCGGGACAGATCCAGACCCTGGAACAGGGTGCCTGTAACAAGAAACAGAAGTTGCGCTTGTGAGTGTGAGAGGGAAAGCAATGCATGGAATTGGAATGGGGGGATTTGCAAAATGGGGGAGTGGGATAACACCCTTTGAGCATCCCTTCCCCAGCAAAGAGATCATAGCCATCCGGGAGGAAAGGCCAATTGAGGGAAGAAAGGGGGGATGCTTCCCACCCACCCGTATAGAAAGAGGCCAATCCCCAGAGGCCCAGTAAGCGCTTCCTGTTGGGATTAGCAGAGCTGTTGGGCATGTGTGTGCTTTTTCTTCAGGAAATACCTTTAGTAAGCCCTGGTGGGGGTTTCCAAGGCAACCGGCAAGGGGACCTGCTGATCTCAGCCATTCAGCTCTTTATTGTTCACTGCATCTCTTTGTTGGCTGCATTATTGCAATCCGGCCCTGGCAAATAACAGCAGTTTGCACTGTTTTGTGAGGACCCTCTGGATGCAGAAGGGTAGTGAGGTCTTCCCCCCCTTCTTTTTCCCCTCTTCCCTCCCCTTATTTTTCTTTTTAACATTCAGATGGCTCTAGTCTGGCACAGGGCCATTTGCATGCAAAACCCCTTTCCTCATCAATGCAAGGTATTGAAGCCCTGGCTGAATACCAAAAGACTAAAGGTTAATCTGTACTGCTCCTTCCTCCATGCCCCTCTCTCCACAATTTCCCTACCAATAAAGTTCTCTTCTTTTTCATCCCCTTAACACAAATTTGGGTTTGGGATCATGAAGGGGTGGAGGCTGGGTTGCTTTCTCCCCACTCACCCCCATTCCTTCTCCTATCGCATTCCCCAATCCTTGGAAAGCTAATAACAGTTCTAAGAACCTCTTGAGTTTTGCCATCTGGCCTAGCATGCCAGACTAAATTTGGGATTTAATTCAGCTTCAAAGCTACAGTTAAAACATAAGAACACACACACACACACACACATTGTCAGAAATGCAGCAGAGAGTATTTGGACATTACATCATGCCTGTAATTTTCAGGCTTGTTTCAAAACCATTATGTAATGTTTCTGGCAGGGGTGCTCCCCCCCATCCCAGTTCTGGCTTTGGGTCTCCCTCACCCCGGCACACTCCGCGGTGTGGGTCCCAGGATGAAAATCTCGTGTTACGGCCTCAGGCGTGGGGTATTAAAAGACACTCTCTTCCAAATCCCTTGAGGGATGCAGGGTGGACCAGGGCTTTGTGGTTCCCCATTAATCATCGCTATTTCAGTTTCTCTGTCATTGAAGTATGTGTATCCAGCCACAAATTGCAGCGATAGTCTGCTTCTTTGCCCTCCTTGGCTGAGTTATCTCTAGAGTTTAAGAAAGTTACTTTTCCAGCCTCTCAGAATTCCTCATGCAGCAATGGCTTTTAGAAGTGTGGTAAAGAAAAACAGGAACTTTTCCTAGCTCTGCATATTTGTATGGATAAAAGTGGGTCCATGATCCCAGCAGCATTTTGGAACTGGCATTCAGCCCATAATAACTTCATATCATGGACAAAACACAGTGGAAGAGGGAAGTGTCATGCTTTGTCTGCAGGACCCTGGCATGGACTCTGAGTCAGAGAATGAAGGCTCTGATAAAGAGCCTGAGAGCCCAGAGGATATGCCAGGTTTGCAGCCTCAAGAGCAGAGTTCCCAGAAGCCACAGGAGCAGAGCCACAACCTTCAGAAGTAGGTTGGACTTATCTATACCTACTCCAGCTGAGAGACATCAGGACAAAGAAAGTTGTAGATGCTTGGGATGCTTGTATAGAAAGCTTGCTGCACTTAGGGAGCACCTATGACACCCAGTCAGGCTATAAATAACCCAGCACCTCTCCCAGACAATTGCTGCTAACAACCGACCTTTCTTGGTTGAAGCAACTCTGGTGTCATGCTCCTAGACAATTTGCCTTGAGCTCTGCTTGGATTCCTGACTACTCTTTTGGAGAACCCTTTGGGCTGCCTGCCTGGACTGTGTACTGAACTGTGGACACCTTGAACCAGACTGGACTACCTCTGCTTCTCAGCTGATGCTTTATTTATTTATTTATTTATTTCAAAGATTTATATTCTTCTTTTCTCCCATAATGGGATTCAAGGCGGGTTACAATAAGTTTTGGTGTGCTCTCTCTCTCTCCCTGTAACTCCATGGGATGCTGTGCTTTTTTTTTTGCTGAGAGTCTAGTTTGCTTCCCAGAGAAAAAAGGGACAGGAAGAGCCTTGATAGCAAAGGTGTCGCTGTTTCAACCATCCATGAAAAATGTTTGGTTTTTTTGAGTATTTTGGATTTTGGAATTCCAGATAAGGGAGACCAGTATTAACAAGTTTGCATTCTACCTAGATACCAAATGCAAGTATTGATTTCAGTTAACCATGTGTTTCTGTGTAAAATGAATATATTGTCCTCGTGCATCAATTACACAATGTACATATCTTTGTCTTTATGAAGACTCACATCCCAAAATATGGGATTTTTTATTTTTATTTTTATTTGGTTCTTGTTCAGTCTATACAAAAGGAAAAGTTTTCCAACCCTCAACTAGGGGACATCCCTTATAATAAGGGTTACCTGCCAGTCCTGTAAGGTTTGCTACCTTCTCATAAGGGACACCTAGCAACCCTACTTCCCCTATCTGGAACCGACATGATTACAGAAAGCAACATGGCCTACTTGATCATACATAAACACTTGACAGACCTTGAGAAAGTTCCTGTTTTAAAATTACTGCCCCAATGGTTACTGGCCATGCTGATTAATGAATTCTGAAAGTTATAGTCCAACAAATAACTTCTTTGACTTTGAATATTCAAAGGGATCTTGCAGCACATTTGAGACTAACTGTGCAAAAGAAGTTGTAGCATTTCATAGATTTGTTCTACTTCTTCAGATGCATGGAGTGAAGTGATGCCCAGGAGGGACTTTAATAATTGGATCTGTGACAAACTGGATCTCAAAAGTAGTAGCTTTTTTTGTCTTGCAAATGGAATTTAAAGTTTATTTCCTGGACTGAATCTCCCAGTACCCACATGACCAGAAGGAGGAGGGACTCACCTGCATTAGTGCCCTTTCACATCATCTAAATTGGGGACAACAACCCACAGCATCTTGACCAAATGCAGGGCTATGTCTAACCTCCTCAATTTCTCTTTCTTTCTTTCTTTCTTTCTTTCTTTCTTGTGTATGATTTTAAACAGTGAAGCCAGTGGAGGTTTGAAAGCTTGCAACATGTGTATTGTGCATTTTGCTTGGCAAAATAAAGGTAACACTGTTTTGTGGATGTTGGATGATACTGTTCTTTGCTATATGGCCAACATGGCTACAACCCTGGCTATGTCAAACATGGCTGTTTCTGAATTCTCTGATTCTTGACAGCTATGGAATTTAGCAGAAATGGTGATGTGTCCCCCACATTAATAAAAATAGCACCAAAACTGTGGAGTCTTCCTTCTTTCCCTAGTGCCCAACATACACACAAACACACACATACATGCCTCCCTCCCTCTTTGGGAATGAGAGAGAGGAGTCCTGCAATTCACTCACTGTTATGGTAATTTCCTGGATGCAAACTGTGGGTGATTACCAGAGGCTCCATTAAAGACCAAGGCTTTTCTCAGAGCCCTGGAACTGCCCCAGGCCTCTCTTGAGTCTCTCTTCACAATAGGAGCCAAAACAAAGGACCACAGAGATCATCTGGCTTATTAAAGATTTGTTAGAGATGGGGAGTGAAGGAGGGCAGCTTGTTGAAGAGCTGCTAGCAGAGGAGGATCTGGTGTGCTTGGTGTTGTCTCAGGGGCCCTCTGTTTGACTGAGCCTTTGCTGCACCTGGCCTCTGCCTAAAGTTACAAAAGTAGTGATGTGGTATGAAAGAGACATTTGAGCCTGACAGAGCCCAGTGATCAAATGGGGTTTCCCCTTAATTAACATGCTCAAGCGAGAAAGCGGCAGCATCACTCATGGGCTATGGGGGCCGGCTTGTCTTGAAGGAACAGAGGGGGTTTTATTGTGCATTGGCGGGGGAAGCATCTGTGGGAAAAGCTGTTGTCTGTGCTCACAACCTGTTCGTTCTTATGGGGGGCTTCCAAAGCATCTTGAAATATTTGGTTCTGGTCCAGCTCAGGGGTAGGACTGATGCTGCAGCATCCTGTTGCCTAGGCAACCAGGAGAGCAGACCCAGGCACCTCTGCTCACCTTGAAGCCCAGGTGGTCCTTTGTTTTGAAGGATGGTGGTCTTTGTTATTGTTGTTGTTTGCTTTCAAGTCGTTTTGGCTTAGACCACACTAAGGCGAACCTATTATTGGGTTTTCTTGGCAAGGTTTGTTCAGAGGAGGTTTGTCATTGCCTTCCCCTAAGGATGCAAGTATGTGACATGCTCAAGGTTACCCAGTGGGTTTCATGGCCAAACTGGGAATCGAACCCTGGTCTCCAGAGTTGTAGTCCAACACTCAAACTATTATGCCACACTGGGCAGGATTTAAATCACACAGACACACATTGCTGGAGTCGTAGGAAAAGGTTTCAGGTATTTGATCTACCAGTTTTAGTAATTTGAAAGAGAGCTAGTGAGATGTAGTGGATTGAGTGTCAGACTAAGGCTGCTGCCACACTGCAGAATTAATGCAGTTTGATACTGCATTAATTGCCATGGGTTCCATTCTATGGAATCATGTATGGCACCATTGCTCTCTGACAGAGAAGGCTAAATATCTCACTGAATTACAAATCCCAGAATTCCATAGCACTGAGCCAAGGCTGTTAAAGCAGTGTCAAACTGCATTAAATCTGCAGTGTAGATGTAGCGTAGGATTGCGAGATCAGGGTTCCAATCCCTGCTCAGTGGAGGAAACCCACTGGGTGACATTGGGCAAGTCACACTCTCTCAGCCTCAGAAGAAAGCAACAGTAATCCAACTCTGAACGAATCCGGCCAAGTGATAGATTCATCTTAGCATCTTCATACATCAGAAACAACTTGAAGTAACAACAGCAAGCTTCCATAAGTCCCATTATTGGGGAAAAGGTGGAATATAAATGATGATGATGATGATGATGATGATCATCATCATCATCATCATTGGGTTTCAGCAGCTGTTGGCTTCTAAAAAAGATGTGGCTGTGATTCTTTTGTTAGTTTTTTATTATTTCTGAACCATTTGACTGTATATAGGAAGCTTTGGATGCTTTAATTGATCTTCACAGCATCCCTGTGAAGCAGGCTGCTGCTATTCCCATTATTTTTAAAAGCACTAAAGTTTTTCAAGATGGCAGAAGCTGCTGCTGCGATTTCTGGAGTCAAAAGCTGTAGCAGGCAGCAGCCTTTCCATTTGGTTTTTGTTTTGTTTTGTTTTTTGTTACAGCTCTGTTGTCTTTTTATTAACATGTGACAAAAAGGCCCCTATTCAGCAGGTGTAGCTTTTCCCCTGGCTCAGCTATTCTGAAACATGAGAAAGTTGTGCCTGTTGGCTTTCTACCCATCTAGAGTAGTGCTAGAGGAACATGATGCTCCATCTGCTGGAGACACTGAAGTTGATAATTGATAGTCTTGTCTATGGCAGCACTCCACCATGTTATTTCTTGTTTAGCAGATTGCGTGCCATTGCAGTTTGAATGTTGGGACTAGGACTATGGAGACCAGGTTTCAATTCCCCACTCGGCCATGAAACCCACTGGGTGTCCTTGAGCAAGTCACACTCTCTCAGCCTCAGGAGAAGGCAACGGCACACCTTCGCTGAACAAATCTTGCCGAGAAAACCCCATGATAGCTTTGTCTTGTTGTTGTGAGCTTTCAAGTCTTTTCTGACTTAAGGATATGGGATTTTCTTGACAAGATTCCTTCACGGCAGGGTTGCCACTGCCATATTCTGAGGCTGAGAGACTGCGACTTGTCCAAGGTCACCCAGTGGGTCTCCAAAGTCATAGCCCAATACTCAAACCACTACACCACACTGGCTTTCTTACCCAACATTAAGCATAGAGTTATGTGTATACCTGTGTAAACTAAGCCATGGTTTCATTAAACCTGGGCTCCTTCCCAGTAGCTAAGATGGCAAGGCTATGTTTTGGCACCACTGATCAATTTAAGACCTTTAGATTGTGTTGTCTCTCCTTTCCTGGAGGGACTAGCGAAGCTGGATATGGTCATTAGCCTGTGAATGCATTCTCCCTGAGTTCCCACCGTGCCTCTTTACCAGTCTGTGGTCCGGGTTACCAAAGGCCAGCGGCCTGCCTTTGCCCTCTGACTCCCTTCTCTCGTCAGCTGGGGCTGGGAGAGCAGCCCTGTCTATCACAAACAGAAAAGCATCCCTGCACTTTTGAGCTTCCATTGGTCATGGCAGTTAATGCAGAACAGTGGCGGGAATTGAGGCTTTTATTGACATGGAAATGACACGACCCTGCCCAGGCTGCTTGAGCTGATGTTTTAAAGTGCTTGCTCCTTCTCTTCTACACTCTCCGGAGGACTAAAGCAAGTTGGATGCTTGCAC